GACTACGAAGCAGCCAGCTGAATAATTCTGTGCTCTTAGCTGTCCATGAAGACTTCCCAACGATAAACTCCGAGCAGTTTTCCACAACCCAGGCCTTGCTGTGTTCATAGCAAGCTGCGCAGCTGTGAACACCATTGCCCATTTTCTCACTTACATTTTGAAACATTTTATTTTCTTCCTTTAGCCTTGTATTTTTATTATCAGATAACTTGTAAGCCTTTTCAAATGCTTCCTCCAGATCTTTAAGCCTCGATTTTAGTCGACTGATAGTGTTATCCTTCTCTTTATTATTTGTGTGCATTTCTTCAATACGCTCTTGCAAAACTTTGGAAGTATTACTGACTGCATAAAAGCGTTCTCTCCAATCTGCCACTTGCTTCTCTAGCGTGAATATCAAACACCAATGAAGACAAAAGCATGTCTATAGGCAAAATTTAGTTCCTCATATATATGTAAAACTGTGCTGGGTAACTAACAGAACACTTGCACTATGGCTACAACACTGTCTACAAATAATAAGGAAAAAAACCACAATTAGTCAGCATCAGTAAAAAGCATTTAAAATAGGACTGCTGAAGAACTTTCATGCCTAAATCCAAGATTACTCCAATATTTCATATTAGCCAGGCAGTCACTAGATAGAAGCAATAAACAGTCTCTGTCACTTGAACAGGCCCCAGAGTTGCCCTCTCCCTCCTAAAGGAGGGAGGCTGAGGGGGGACCTGAGGAGGCTGAGGGGGGACCTTATTGCTCTCTACAACTACCTGAAAGGAGGTTGTAGTGAGGCGGGTGTTGGTCTCTTCTCCCATGTAACTAGCGATAGGATGAGAGGCAACGGCCTCAAGTTGGGTCAGGGGAGGTTTAGAGTGGATATCAGGAGAAATTTCTTCACAGAAAGAGTCAGACATTGGAACAAGCTGCCCAAGCAGGTGGTTGAGTCCCCATCCCTGGAGGTGTTTAAAAAATGTGTAAATGTGGCACTTCAGGATGTGGTTTAAGAGGCATGGTGGTGTTGGGTGGATGGTTGGACAATGATCTTAGAGGCCTTTTCCAAGCTATGATTCTATGATTCTACAATTCTGTGATAAAGGCCATAACCAAGAAGTTACAGAGACAAATTAATGTTTATGTTCTCCAACTACTGTAGTAAAATGTTATTTTCTACATAGGGAAACAGTTTCTGAGATACAATTACCCAGATGCCTTGTAAGCCTTTGTATGTAAACTGTATATGAAAACTATGTGTGTAAGCTGTGTGGTTTTGGCTTGTGGTCCTAGTATACAGGGAGTATAGTGCTGAACTCTCGAAGCATAGGGTGAATTTGAAAGTGGGCATCTCAGTTGCTACTTGCGTATACGAACAACTCATGTATTGCTTGAAAAGAGGATTAGCAGCTCAGTAACCCTTTTCTCTTCTGCTGGGTTTAAAAGAAGCAGCTACCCATATCTGATTTAGAGAAAGGGTATTTAGGTACCAGCCTTCAAAGCAGAGCTTTAAGGCAGTAAATCTCCAGAGGAGTATGTAAGTTGTAGAAGAGGGAGACTTGAGTGCACAAATCCTCTTTGTTTCCCTCTTAGATAGGCCTGGATGGCATCACACACACTGTACCGAGTTTCCTGGACCTCACTCTGATTCTTACTGTACATATCCAGCATCTCAAGTTTCTTTTTTCAGGACCAAAGAAAATTTAGGCATTGCAATGCTTTGATGTCTAAACTCACTTTTGGCATTTAGCCTCACGTGTTTTCTTTGCTGCTTATCTCTAATTACTTTTTATGATGCTGTCCTGGTAAATGCAGGACATGGCCCCGATCTGCAGCACCCCAACCAGAACAGCAAAACATGTCTGGTGACAGTGAACAGATTCAACGACGAGTCCAGATCACCAGACCAGTCCATAGTGATGAGACGGGTTGAGGCTGAGGTCAGGCTCAGGATCAGTGGGGTTCTTGGCCAGGCACAGGCACGTTCTCCACGCAGCTCCAGCGAGGAGCAGGGTCAACAGCTGGGGCTGAAACACAGCTCCCAAGCCAAGAGGATGAAGCTTCTATTGAGGCGCATCACAGCTCTGTCCCACCCAGCTCTTCTAGCATCCATCTGACCCAAGGTTATTGCAGAGCTGGCCTTGAGTGCAGGCAGCCACGTTGCTGGGGAAAAGTGGTTGCTGAGTCTCTGCAGGACCCCGACAACCTAACCCAGAAATAAGCTTGCTAGGAGAGTGGCAGTTTAACTCAGGGGACATTACACCAGCCCTAGCAGTCAAGACACTTTAGATGTAAAGGCTGTGAGCATCCTCATGCTGAAAGAGACTAAAATCAAGATTTTCCTCTTCCTGGGTGAGGGCTCTAGGTGTGTGGTATGAAGGTGGCCACCACAAGTTCTTTGGTTGTGTTTTAAAAGAAAACTTCTGGCAGTTCTCTGCAAGCAGAGATGTTGGTGCCTGCCTTTGCCTGAGGATCCAGAGCCTGGCTCTGGAGCAGATAGGCACTCCTGCCTTGCAGCCTTGGGTTAATGAATGGCAACATTTGGGGCGGGGGTGGAGAAAGGGGGAATTCAGGTATACCACAGTCTTTCGTATTTGCTAACTTGTAAAAAAATCTTTCCCTTCTGTCTCTCTCACAGACTTAAGCCTGGAGTCTTTTATCAGTCCTAGGAGTTGGGTAGAAGGGCCTAGAATTGGGTGCTGATGCCCTGTAAATCTTTAGCAGGAGCTGGGCTTGACTAGAGTGCACAGTGGTTTCTATTCTGAGGGGGTTCCTAGTTCTCATTACAGACAAGATGTAGGATCTGGACCTTAATTATGCTCCATCAGACTTTTCCTACAGTACCGTAACACTGGAAAGACTCATTTATTTCACAGATGTATAATTATCCATTTCCTCCTCTGTTTGACTCATTCATGCAGCTTACCTGTCCCTCAGCGATGCCGAAGACTTCTGCAGGAGGGAGGGAGGAGGTGCTGCTCAGGTTCTTCGCTGCCTCCCCAGCCAGGACGGGCTGCGGCTCTGGCACCGGCCGACCTTTGCCTTGAAGACAGATGCACTTCGCAAAGGTGCAGCAGGGCTGGCCCTCTGTAATTCAATTTCTGTTTGTCATGGAACGGCTGGTTTGTTTGCTTTGCACTTAAGGCCCACAGTTTATTCAGGACTGTAAAACTCTTCAGAATCACGTATAAGTAAATATGTGAAAAACAAACAGTGCTGAAAATTAGTCTGGTCAAAAGTGAGGGACTACTATTGCTTAATAATATATACTTGCAAGACTTCATTCTGCAGCAGAAGAATATATTTTCCATCCTCTGAATATCTTCTATGAGATCATAAAATCCTTAACTATTTAAAAAACAAGTTAAATATTTGTGTTTAAAAGAGTACCGTGCTTAACTTTCTACTTCAGGCTGTTGTGAATGACATCAGATGATGATAAGGTCAGTGTTTAAACTGAAAGTCCCAGTTTACCTTTCATTATTACAAACTGCTTAAAACTGGATATGCTGAATTACAAAACTCTGATAGGTAGATGGCACAACATTAAAGAAATTAATTCCATGGTTTAGAGCTTCCTGTCCAGATCCTCCTGAGCCAGTCCTGAAGTCCTTACTCACTTCCTTACTCCTGATTCATCAAAGCATTTAAACACTCTAGATTTCAGTGGGATTTAAGCATATTCTTGTTGATTCAACACTCTAATCAGAGCAAATCCTTACTAAAGTCAGTAGGAATTTTTGCCCCAAAAGCCCTAAGGTTTCACGCTTTTTTTTTTTTTAATCCTGTATTTGAGTCTGCACAACTCGAAATTGAGAATTTATGTGTTTGGTAGCTGTTGCTATGCATCACTCCCTGCCCAAACCAGTTCTTTCACTTTGGCTGTTTAATCTCTGGCTAGTAATACTAGTGGCAAGAGGAAATTAACAGATGGGGTAGTGCTGGAGTAGGTGGGGACATGTTGAGAATAAGGTTATAATAATTTATTTCAGGTGCCTCCTCGCCAGAGCATATTTAAATACTAGGAAGAAAGGCACCCTTTTTCTTTCTCCCGTCTTGAACTGTCTCTACCCTTTAAGCATCTTGAAGTATAGCGCAGCTTTGTTTTCTTTCATTGGTTAGATGTAAGTATGATTTTTGGGAAAAAAAAAATACGAGTGTGTGAGAAAACACTTGGAGAAAATAGAATGGAGAAGCTACAGGGGAACGGCTCCTTAAATGTCACATACCCGCTGCCCAGCGACTCGGCCCACTGCACTGCAGCCCACTGCGTAAGCGCTCTTTGGCAAAGCGTAGCGAGTCTGTGGTGAGCAAGGAGTTCTGCCGAAACTCTGCTGAAGGAGGGTTTCCTAACAGGCTGGTGATACCCGTTTCCTCTGGATTCCTTTGGTACAAGCCTGTTTGATTAACATGTCTTACAAGTTAAATCCTTAGGATGTCTTTTAGAGGCCGGTGAGACAAGGGAGCGCGTGTCGGCAGCTCCAGCTCTGCTCCCCACCGTCGCGGCACGCTACACCTTTCTCTTCTGCTTTCTAATCAAATCGAGTGCCATGCAGCTTCATTTGTTTTTTTTAATTAGAAGCAAACAAAACCACTGTTAAACTTCTTAGAAACGAGTCCGCTGCTTAGCCTGAGCAGCAGATTAGTGGGAGAATGACATTTGGGGATTTCTGAAGCAAAGCGAGAGCTGGTTTTGGAGGGGGGGTGGATTGCTAAAGGATATAGTGTGAGCTGTGCAGCGACCTCAAACTCTCACTGCTTTCCCTGCAAAGGGCAGGAAATTCCCCAAGTTTTGCAAGGTGTCTCTTGCTTTACTGGACTTTTAAAAATAACTTCCTGAAGTAATGATTTACTTTCCTTAAATATTCCACTGGGAAGAGCATGAAAGCACGGCCTCCCAACTCCCAAACGGCTCAACCCTGTGAAGTAAGAAGCAGCCCTGATTCATTAGAGCTTCATAATTCATAACTCTGGGCTTTTCACAATTCGGTTTGGCATCATGTTTTTGGGAGTGGTGTTGATTAAGCCAGCAACTGTGGTCCCGCTCCCGCCGTTGCCTGCTGGCGCGCGCAGGCTCTCCTTTGGCAAGCCTGAAAGAGTTTTCCCCGTGCACAGGCAGGAGCAGAGGGGAGGGGGGAGAAGACCGGTGTTTAATTAGGGGATTTCGCAGGTAAAAATCAAACAAATCCTGTCAGCAGGGGGATGGCCGCCCCCCACGGCCCTCCGGGGGGAGCGGCGGCC